AGGTGGCTTTGTAGCACTTGAGCACTTAATTATGGTACTTAAGAAGTGCATTTACAATGAAAATTCCAGCTAACGTTCACTTTTTAGAAGTTAATCTTACCAGAAGTGTTCTGAAAATGAATTCTGATTTTCTAAAATGGCAAGATACTTTATTTTTAAAATCTCGTTATTTTAACACTGCATTGTTAGGTGTGATTTTCGACATCCCAGTAAGGCAAAGCTGTAATCTCACCAGATGCCATTTAACTTATGGTGCATTTTGTCAGATCTTACTTTATGCAGTGTATGCAAGCTTAATATAGAGTCCGCAGCCCTGGAAACTGTTATTTTTTAGGATTGCAGAGTTATATTGTGTGAGCTTGCCGTGCAAATCCTAGTATAGAGATTTCATGTAAGTGCGTTTTGGAGGCTGAGTATTATTATCCCGGCTGTTTAGCTCAGTTAGTAGAGAACCATGCCTGGAACACGAGGGTCCTGGTGTGATTTGGCCCTCTTCCCGCTACCCCCGGCCACCCTGTAGTGCAGACTGGGCATGGGGTGATCTTCTGGGTCCATCATCACTCTGGGGATGGCCAAGCAAGTTCCTTGCCCACACAGGCACCCACTAGCAACACTGGGAAAGCTTTAAAAAAAATGTCTGCACTTGGTACCCCAGAGATCCTGATTCAGCTGTTCCAGGCATGGGTATTTTTTTCTTTTTTTAAAGTTACAAATTTATTTATTTATTTCTTATTGTTATTGAAAGTATACACAGCAAAACATACACCAATTCAACAATTTCTATACATACAGTTCAGTGACACTGATTACATTCTTCAAGTTGTGCAACCAGTCACTCTCCTTTTCTAAAGTGTTCCTTCCGCATTAACATAAATTCACTGCTCCCTAAGCTATCTCAGCTTTCCAGATGCTGTGTCAGTGTGAGCCATACAGATAATTCTTCAAAGGAGCATGACATTCAAGGCAAATATTCTTCACTAAATATGCTAACCTACTGTTTGGTTTAAAGAAGACTTCAGGGGATATTTTTGGTTTAAGGTTTAAAGATTGTTCGAGGGCAGTAGTTTCAGGGGTTTGTCTAGCTTCAATGGCTCCAGAAAGTCTGGATTCCATGAGAATTTGAAATTCTATTTCGCATTTTCCCCCTTTTGATCAGGAGTCTTCTGTAGAATCTTTGCTCAAAATGTTCAGAAATGGTAGGCGGGCACCATCCAGTTCTTTTGGTCTCATGACAAAGGAGGAGGCAGTTGTTCATGGAGGCCATTAGCCACACATTCCATTTCTTCCTCTTATTCTTGACTCTCGTTTTTCCTGTGTTGCTCCAGGCAAATAGAGACCACTGTTGTACCTTGGATGGCTGCTTGCAATCTTTTAGGACTACAGGCACTACACAACAAACTGGGAGGTAGAACAGAAACACTAAAAGCAATATTAGGCCAATTACTTATGATGTCCCATGAAACCATGACCCTAACAGGCATGGGTATTTTTTAAAGCTCCCCAAACAAAGCTAGTAGTGTGACCAGGGTTGAGGTCCACTGGGAAGAAGTAGGGCAGAACTCGGAGTGTTGGGGATATTCCCTAGTGCTCCTTCATGAGGCTCACATCCTGGAAGACAAGGAAGCCGCCTTGTTGGCTAGACTGTTATATTTGACTTTTGCTACATATCATTGGAGTCCCTGGGTGGTGCAAACGGTTAATGCGCTTGGCTGCTAACCAAAAGGTTGGAGGTTCAAGTGCCTCAGAAGAAAGGCCTGGTGTTTTACTTCCAAAAAACCAGCCATTGAAAACCCTATGGAGCACAATTCTACTCTGACACATGTGGGGCCGCCATGAGTCAGAGTTGACTCGATGGCAGCTGGGATATATCATTAGGCTTATCGGGCATGATTGAACAACAGTGAAGTTCCGTCATAATGATCATAAGAAAATTTGCTTATTTTAAGTATGATATGAGACATTTTGATCAAGTTGCATTCTGATGGGTGCCTTGAATGACCTTCAGATCTATATCTGTTTTCTTACTTGACAGTTTACCCAGAAATTAACATCTTCTGGCAGGCCTTACCAGAAATATACTTGTGTTCACAGTTAAAAAGAGAAACAAGTGGATAATATGTAAATCCAAGGAGAAATCATCTGTACTTACATATGCTTTGAACCGTTTTAGAAGTAAATCATTTTATATCAGATGTGTCTATATGTGTTTTGTTGGTGGCTTAGTAGCTGTTACCTGGTTGATCTGACTTTTGCACCAAAATTAATGTGCAAAATAAAAGGAAGCAATTGATTTAAAGAGCCAAGCAACCTGGGTGATCTCACAGCAGATACCTGTGGGGCCTCAGCTTCTCCTCCTCCTTGACTTAGGCTGTTTACACAATTGGCTCATTTTTCCACGGCACCTTTGTTCATTCTGTGGTTCTTCCTTGGAATATACTCCTTCAATGGCCGGGTTCCAACTCACTTCTTCCCTGAAGTCTTGCGAGACAACCTGTTCCAAAGTGATGCTTCTACTTGTTTAATTACATCTTTAGTCTGTTCCACACAAGCTCGTGTTGGTTTCGTCTACCTTTTGCAGATCTTTGGTGTTCCTTACCTGGTGAGTCTCACCTCCTTGTGCAGGACCTGTCTTCACTTCCTTGGAGACAGAGCAGAACTCACTTGGTCCTCACTGAGTTGAACTGAAAGACAAATCAGAAGGCCAATTTTGAGTTTTAATGTTGATGTTCTATTTCCATCACATGAAGATACCGTATTGAGAGAGGGAGGATGGGACATGGAGGGAGCAGGAAAACGAACATATCATAGTTTTTCTCTTGAGACACTTCAGTTTGTCAGGAGACAGCTTGTATAAAAGCATGCATCAGGTCACTGAAGTCGGCCAGCATGATTTTCAACTTCCTTTCCTCTTTGGTTGCAGTATGTACCAGTCATTTGTGTTCTGGAAATATCTAAGCCAAGAAAAGGCATTAAGTATTAAGAGATGCTCCTAATAAGCTCCGTGTTTTACCCCAGACAGACCAAGTGGTACACATCAGGCATGAAGGCATTTAAACAAAAGGGAGGAAGTTCTAGCTGAGAGAGAGAAAGTTGTCAAAGATTGATGGAGAGTAGTGATGTGACCACTCCCTCTGCCTGTAATTGTGATGCTGCAATAACACTCTGGGCTGGGACTAGGCTACTTTGTTATTAGATAGCAATGCCAGTGTACCAGGGATAAACTGGACACTTCTCTGCACCAGCCACTTGGGGCAGTGGTCAACAATGATGTAGGAGAGGGTAGCCTGGGATGTGGAGTCCCTGGGTGGTGCAAATGGTTAATGTGCTTGGCTGCTAACCAAAAGGTTGGAGATTTGAGTCCACCCAGAGGTGCCATAGAAGAAAGTCCTGGTGATATCTACTTCTAGAAAATCAGTCATTGAAAACCCTATGGAGCACAGTTCTACTCGGACACACATGGGGTTGCCATGACTCAGAGTTGACTTGGTGACAACTGATTACGGGTTAACCTGGGATGGAGATTGTTTGAATGTAATCGAGGATGCTCTGAGAATGGTGGAAGCATAGAGGAGGAGACACATGGAGGCTTTAAACCACCAGCCTAAGGCAGGGTGTACAAATAGGGTCTCCCTGAGAAGGCTTGATCACGCTGGGCTTAAATTTCAATGAGCGCTCGCTCTGAAGGCTCTATGTCGCCCCAGATGTTCCTGCTCTTTCTTGCCTCTGAGTCTGTGTGATTCTGTTTCCACTACCTGAAACGAGCACATTCTCTCATCTCCCACCCTCCCTGGGACTGACACATACTCACTGCCTAAGAACCAGCTCTAGGCTCCGCTTATTGGTGAGGGGCCCCACAGAGCTCGCTCATCCCTCTCTGCCAGCACTCACAGGCGATACTGTGAGTCGTCTGTACCCTCACTGGGTGCTCCACCCCATGGGGCAGGGGCCCGGTCTTCCTTACACACCTCTGTCTCTGCACCCACTCCTGGCAGGTGCAGCAGCTCAAACACTCTGTCATAGCACCACTATATGGCACAGGACTGCAGAGCTGAGTGGCTTCGGTTTGAGGGCAGAAGCCTGGGCCCGCAGTGGCCATGCCATCCTGAAATGGCCATTGTGCCACACCTTTCCTGTCCCTCCTGGAGTTGTTTCTGGATGGGGGCTTAGAGCTTCATTAAGCCAGCTGTGGAGGGGACAGAGTGGCCCAAAGGGGCTCCCCGCTCCTTGTGCTCGTTAGAAAGCTGTACGTTCTTTTTTTTTTGATTCATAATCTACCTGCAATCTTTTTGTTTTTAGAAAGTTTACAGAGCAATTAGTTTCCCATTAGATAGTTTGTACATGAAAGGTTTCATGGCCTTGGCTTCATTCCCCACAATGTGTCAGCACTCTCCCCATTTCCGTTCTAGTTTCTCTGTTTCTTTTCGTCCTGATTTTCTGCCCCTTCCTGCCTTCTCATCTTTGCTTCTGGGCAAATGTTGCCCTTTTGATCTGGTGTAATTGATTGTTCTAAGGAGCATGCTCCTCTCAGGTGTTATTTTATGGGCTTGTCTGTTGTTTGGCTGGAAGGTGGTCTCCAAGAATGGCTTCCAGGTCAGAAAGGTGTCTTAGGGCCATAGACTTGAGGGTTCCTCCAGTCTCTGTCAGAAGAAAGCCATATGTTCTTGCTTTCGAGCTGTCTCAGCTTCACTGCAGAGGGTTAGCCCTATGCCTTCCTCTGTGGTTTCAGCACTAAAGAAAGCCTCTGTCAGACAGCCGTTTGGTCAATGAAAACCATCCTGTATAAATGTGGAGCAGGAGCGTAGGCACCTGTCTTCCTTAACTTTTCTCGAGTGTTGACCACAGCGGCTTTAGGTGAGTGAAACCACTTGCCCTGGTGTGTGGTCCTATGAGATGTGGAAGGATGCTGGACAGAGGTAAGGACCTTGTTCGTGTCCCTGGTGGACAGGTGGTGATAACGGCGAGCCTCCATCACTCGATTTTGCCTTCTTGTCCCCTTTCAGAGTGCTGAGCAGATCGCTGCACTGTGCAGGAGCTTTGTCGACACCCAGACGGACGGCATGGAGGCACCACAGGGGAGTCGGGACCCCCCGCCCCGGCCCCTGGCCCGCCACCTCTCCGACGCAGACCGTCTCCGCAAAGTCATCCAGGAGCTCGTGGACACGGAGAAGTCCTATGTGAAGGTGAGGCAGCCTGTGTCCTTCCTTTCCTGCTCTCTCTTCCCCTCTGCTGGCGGCCAGTGGGGCTGGCAGGGACACCCAGACCCCACCTGCCCTGGACCCTGCCAGGCGTGAGGGCCACACATACCCCTGTGAGCAGTGAATGAATGCAGGGGAGGGAGGGCAGGGACGAGAGGGTGGAGGAGCTGAGAGGACTCACAAAAATTAGACTCTCGGCTCGTTCTGTTTCCAAGGTAGTTTTCACTATGGAAACAGGTGTTCTAGTTTATCGTTTGCGATCGGTGGGAAGGGAGCCTGTACTGGTTTAGGGAAAGGGGCTGAAGATCATTTTAGGTGATGGGCAACTGGGAAGAGTGTGTGCACGGTGACTGCTGCCATAGGCCCCAGGACTGAGGCTGTCCCCGGGCCCAGCCGGCCCGGTGGTCTCCTGCAGAGCAGAGACCCAGACACAGATCTGTGGTCTTCACGTGGAAGTGCTCTCACACCTTTATAAAGGGGGGATGGTTGCTGAGTGTATTGAGTACCAAGAGAATTCACTCATTTATCTCAGAATCCACCAGTTAGTGGTTTGAGAAAAATTTTATGAAGAGCACAGGAGCCTGGGAAGACAGTTCTTCTGCTGTGCTTGGTGAAGCTCTGGGGCCATCCTGAGCTGGCCTTATCTATAGCAAGCGGCACAGGGCAGTGGGCTAAGAAGCCAGGCCTGGTCTGGCTGTGTGATGTGGGGCTGCCCCCTCCACCTCCCAGGTTTCCGCTTCCTCATTCGGGGTCTGAGGGGTTGGCCTCCTCTCCCTCAGGGCCTCCCGGCTCTTACATGCTGAGTCCACAAATTAAACCCTAGCACACACACGCCGCTCTTACCTTCTTTCTCCACAAGATAAATCTGAACTTCCTCTATCAGTAATGTTGCGGTAGTTTTACCTGGAGTTTACCAAAGGCCCTATTCACAGGTGGCCCAGGAGAGCTACCCAAAGGCCATTCTTTTGGTCCCGCAGGGTGAAAGAAAAGTTACAGAACGTGACAATTTCATTTTCCATTACGCTTTGCCCAGCATAGAATGGGGGGGGGAGAAGAAGGGACTATCTAGGTGTTCAGGCTCGCTTTCTGAATAACCTTGTGTATCCAGTTACCTTTTTCCAAGAAGCTCTGTGAGCTGGGCATGTTTCTGAGGCTTTTAGAGCCCTTCTGGCATCTTGAGGAAAGTCTGCAAGCTCTCACCTGCAGAGTCAAGGCCGAACGGAGAGTAGACGCCACGTCCCTTTATTTGTTTATTATTATTGTTGTTATTATATTTTGCTATCAGACCACACTGCATGGGATGGTCATTTTGAGGTAATGCTGGTCCTGAGTGCTGAGCACTGAGATGCCTGTTGTGAGTAAAATGGGCGAAAAGGACCGACACACCCATCCCTCGGCAAGCACCCTGTGCGTTGCTCTCTTAGGGCCCCCAGCGCTGTGGCGCTTGCCCCCCCCCCCCCCCCGCCCAGTGTGGACCTGCTTGTGGTACCAGTAAGTCCTCCTGAGCAGCACCAGCTGGGGAGGCCAGGAATGACCCGTGCCCACCTCTGTCTCTGACAAAATAACCAGCACCTGGTGCCCCTGTGATTCCCACACCCCACTTCACTTTCTTAATTTCTCTTTGTAGCTGACATTTCACATGGAGTTGTACTTGCTGTTGAATCTAACCGAGACCCCTGCATGCCACTTGGCATCTTTGCCGTTTGCGTTCCCAGGAGTAGTTGATGCAGTGACTTCTCACACTGCTCTGCTCTGAGGGCCCGCTGGGGAATGTGGCGTCAGGGGAGGGCCAGGGAGGCTTTTACGGTGACATGCTGTTGGCATCTCAGGCCTGCACACTGGCTGTCAGATCTGCGCCACCCGGTTCTGGTGTGCCAGCTGGGAAGTGAGGGGCCTCGGCCCTACAGAGTTCTCTGGGGCTTAGATTTGTCCTTGTAAAATGAGAGAGTCCAAAGTATTTGACTTTGTAGTCAACTACTTCTAGTATCTTAGGACTCAAATTCTTCAGGGTAAATGAAACGAGAAAAATAAGTCTATCACTAAATTATATACTGATGTTGGCTTCAGATTATTAAATATAAAATATCTTTATCTAAAAGGTTTTATAAATAAGTCGACTCCCCCCGTTCTCTGTAGTGCAAGAGCCTAGTTTACTCGAGACCCAAATATGACCTAGATTTTAAACATTGTGACCGCTAATGTGTGGGAAAATTTTCTTCCCTCTGGGTGTTTGAAATTCTGCTAGTGCGTAGCCCCAACGTTGAAGCACCCCCCAGATCTTATCCTTTCCCTCCCAGATCCACAGCCTTGCTCCCTGACACAAGGGAGGAGAGGGCAGATCCGCCAGGAGCTGAGCTCACACCCAACGGAAGGAACTAGCCAGACCTCACCTTTCCTGCAAGGAAGCAGGGCTCCTGCTGCTGGAGTCTGAAGAAAGAGCCTGTTCCCGCGACAACATATTTAATTAAGCAAAGCAGGTGATCACCTGCGCTAAAGACAAATGTGGAATCCAGCTGGTTTCTGGTTTCTGGTTGTGTGATGGTAACCTCCTTGAGTTAGGTGAGAGATAACCACCACATTTAGGGTTAAGAATTTCAGGAAGACATAACTTCCTCATGCCTAGTGGAAGTCACTGGAGCTGCTGCCAGGTCACTGGGGTCTCGGGCATTTTAGAGACTCATTGTTCGAGGTCTTCTTCTTTTGTCTTTCAGGATCTGAGCTGCCTCTTTGAATTATACTTAGAGCCACTTCAGAGTGAGACCTTTCTTACACAAGACGAGGTAAATACTCACCTGCCTTCTGTCCACTGACCCATAGGTTAGTCTCCCTTGGCCTTTTAGCAGACGTTCTCAAAGGTTATATCTACTTACCCCCAACAGAAAGAAGCCCTGGTGGTGCAGTGGTGAAGTGCTTTGCTGCTAACTGAAAGGTCAGCAGTTGGTTTGAACCAGGGCTTCGAACCAGTTCATTCCTGCTGAACCCTTGCTGAGAATTTGCATTTCTAACAAGTTCCCTGCTGACAATTTGCATTTCTAACAAGTTCCCAAGAAGCTGTATGTAAGAATCACCTGAGGATCTTGTTAAAATTCTGATTCAGCATGTCTAGGGTAGAAATGCAAATTCTCAGCGAGAACTTGTTAGAAATGCAAATTCTCAGCAGCGGGTTTGAACCGGAACGAACTGGTGTGAAGCCCTGGTTCAAACCCACCAGCGGCTTCGTGGGATAAAACACCTGGCAGTCTGTTCCCGTAAAGATTACAGCCTAGGAAACCCTGTACGGCAGTTCTAGTCTGTCATATAGGGTCACTATGAGTTGGAATCGACTCGATGGCACACAACAACAACAATCCCACAAGAACATCCGCGATTTAAGGGTCTTCAGAGAATCCTGACCTCGGCCTCCTCCAAAGCCACTTTATGTGGCCTCTGCTGTACAAAGCACAGTGACTAAAATTTACAGAGAAGGATGGTTTAGACCCTTGGTGTAGAAGAAGAAGGTGTAACTACAAGTTACTTTTTAATAAATGAATATTTAATGTTAAATCACAGTAATAGTTCTTTTCTATTTATTTCCATTTTTCCTGATTTGAATTCCGGGAATTTTACCTCTACTTAAAAAAAAAATAATTTAGAATTATAGGAATTAGAACTGTACATTGAAGTGGATTGTCCAATAAGCAAGGTAAACACGAGCTTACTTACTAATCTGTATGAACAATTTCACATGGGTTTCACCATACCACATTAAAGTAAAACCCATGTGAAATTGTTCACTACAGATTAGTAAGTAAGCACAGGTAAGCCAGTGCTTACCTTGTTTACTGAGTCATCCACCCTAGTCAGGGATTGTAAATTTGAAAACAGGCTTTGATTCTGTACAAGGGTGCTGTGGGGTTGGGAGAGAGACAGATGCCAGCCATACCTAGAAGCAAAATCTTTAATGTGGTGAAAAAATGTGAAATTGTTCACTACAGATTAGTAAGTAAGCACAAGTGAGCCTGTGCTTACCTGGCTTATTGGATATTCGGCCCCTGGCTATACAACTCTGTATGTATAAACTCTATCCCATAGTGAATATGCTGTCTTCTTTAAAGGATGTACTTCTGTCTACTGCTTGGTGAATTGACCTCATTGTGACTTACTTGTGAGTCTCAGTGTGGTATCTAGATCTTCATTGCTAATACCCCTTTTCAAACCTGACTTGCACACAGATGGAGTCACTTTTTGGAAGTTTGCCAGAGATGCTTGAGTTTCAAAAGGTGTTTCTGGAGACTCTGGAGGATGGGATTTCAGCGTCATCTGACTTCAACACACTTGAAACCCCCTCGCAGTTTAGAGTAAGTACTTCAGACTTTGGCTTAAAGCAGAAATAGGTGGGCGCAGTGTAAAATTCTCCCTTGGAAAGAGTATGTTGTCCCTTGACTATTGACAAGACACATTTAGTGTTTTCATCTGGCAGGTAGTAAAATACAGCTACATATCTTTTCTAGAATAAATGCTTCTGGTGATCCAAAGTCTGAGTAGATGCAGTTTTGTGGATTCAGCCTGGTGTTGAACACATAACCAGTTTTGCCTGTTATGGTGATTCATGGTGACCCCATATGTGTCAGGGTAGAACTGTGCTCCATGGGGTTTTAAATGGCTGACTTTTCAGAAGTAGATCACCAGGCTTTTCTTCTGAGGCACCTCTGGGTGGACTAGAACCTCCAGTCTTTCCATTAGTAGCCAAGCATGTTAACCATCGCACCACCCAGGGACTCCACTCCTTGCTCAACTTTACTGAAGGATATCTTGGGTGATCACTTGTGATACAAGAGCACCTGCCTGCATTCGATTCTTCTGTGTGGTTGTGAGAAACTGGGATGAAAAGCATAGGTTTCAAATAGCATTGGTAGAGCTTCTGTTCTCTGGAGACCTGTCTCCAGTAGAAACATCAAGGATTGATAAGAAGTTCCCCAGGGAAGGAAGGATGGAAGGCAGTAGAAAGGGGACAAGGAAGTATACAGAAATGATTATTAGTTTCAGACAATTGAGAGTTGGCTGTTCTTGATGAACTTCTCAGATCTTTTATTTCCTACTTTGTCAGATGTATCTTTACAGATGTTTCTTGCCCTTTGATTGCACACAATGTCAATAGGCTCTGCTGCCTGAACTGTATTGTCCAAGAAGAAACTGCATGTTGGTAATAAACAATCAAACGAAAGACCTGCTGGAGGATGCCAGGCTGTTCTCTCTCCTGTGTATTTAGGGGGTGTCCTGTGCTTATTTCTCTTAGTGACCTCTCTGTGGTATCAGTGCTTGAGTCTCTGAAAGATAAATGCCATGAAGACACCCGAGCAGCCCATGCCTTGCTGTAGCCAGCGGACACTGTTTAAACCAAGCGTGATTTGACTTTTCTCTTCTTTTAGAAGTTACTGTTTTCCCTTGGAGGCTCGTTCCTTTATTATGCGGACCATTTTAAACTGTACAGCGGATTCTGTGCTAATCATATTAAAGTACAGAAGGTTCTAGAACGAGGTAAGTTGCTCGTACTTTTCATAGCTGTGCTTTTTGTATTTTAACTGTTATACAGAGTGAGCCAGTATTTAACAAGTAGGGGTAAGTATAGTTTTAATGGCTTATGCGCCATCCTTGACCTTGAAAGCGACAGACACTGAAGGGAAAGTACATTTCCATTTATTGGTAGCAGTGAGCAAGTGCACCTGATAACAGAGCTGGTGCTTTGCCGCTGAGTCATCTTGCTATTAAATTACATCTGGATTCTGGTCTCGACAGATTCCTTTATCTGAAAACTTGCAACTGTAAGCCCTGGATGGGGATAGAAAGGAACGCACGCCATGTTTTCTTTCTTTCTCGTTAACCTTCTCTGAGGAGTCACGGCAAAGAAGCCACCACCAAACACACACCACCACTGGACACACCCCCACCAAACTCACAGGTGTGCTACCTACAGTTACAGCTGCTTCGGAGGGACCAGAACAAAACTCACGTTTATCCCAGCCCACATCCCATCCGTCCCTGAAGTATCTTTCATCTCCCCACCTTTTTATCATCGTATTTTATTGGCTTTAACTTAAGACGTTTAGTTTTTTTCCAGCGCAAGTGAACCCAGGGGATCAACCTTCAATGCTCCTTCCCCACTTCCTGCCAATAGGAAACATTTGACATGGAGCTTGGAGAGATGCCTAAGGCTTGGCAGCTGCCTTGTCATGGGCCAGCTCCAGGACAGGTCACTGGCATTGATTGACCCACTTGGGCTTCCAGTAATGGGTCAACCAGTCAGCCCAGCCCGGGAGGTATATTCAAAGATTTGATGGCAGTGATAACCTTCCTCAGGTGCAGGAGTATTGAAGGCAGTTTTTGCGTTATACTTGCCATCATTATATCATCCACCCTGATAGTCAATATATTTCTGTAATTAACTACCCCAGGAATTCTCAACTGAAGCTCTTCTATTGCTGAAGGCTTCTTTCAGTCACCAGAGAATCTCATAAGTTATCAGATTAGAATTCTCAGTGCTCTCTCAGATAATGTTTTTCTATCCCATTCCTTGGAATTCTCATTTCTGGTGGCAGAGACAAGTAAGAGAAGGAGAATCAGTGATGCAGGAGTGGGACTTTTAGGTCAAGGCCAAGAGCAACATTAATTCAGTGTGCTCAGAACACAGTGAACAAATTTATTTCCTTCAGGAGTCTCTCTCCTCCACTGTGGCTTCTATAGCAGAAGGCTTCTTATGAAAATATATGGAATCCTATTTCAGTTCATCTGAACATTCTCCAGAGATGATCACCAAGGTATCTGTATTCTTTCAAATGTACTTGGAAATAAGATACAAACCTTGTGAAGCATCAATTGCTACCCTGTCATACGTTTCCAGGATAAAAATGACTTCATCCAGGGCCTGAATGCCATCTTCATAATTAAGGATGACCTCATGGGGTTCACTCCCGATATGATTTGCCACTTCTCCAGATGACAGTGGATTGGGCTGTCTTCCATGACAATGGAAGATGTTTGAGGAAGGTTCTGTATTTGAACTTCTATAGTTGCTTCAGTAGAGTAGCAGCAGCCAGGCTCTGTTCCAAACCACCTGAAAAAAGGCAGGCACGTCTCCTGTCTGTCATCAGATGCTTCTTGTAGCATTGTCAGAAGGCATCCAGAGGTTGCTCTTCAATGTTTCTTGCTCAAAACCAGGGGCTGGTTTCCCTCACTGTCATGGAGGCCTGTAGATGTTTATCCCCACACTGATGGCATCTCATCGTTTCCACTGATGAAGCTGTACCATTTGGTTTAAATCCAGAATTTCACAATATCCTAGAAGAAAAGTCTCAAGTTTGAAAAATGGAGTATCAGAGTGCTTCAAATTAAGACCCTTAACTTCTGAATACCCAGCCCAAGCCGCCTTCTCTAGTTGCTTTAAACAAAGGTCTGATTCCATTGGCATTTCCTTCTAGAAGCACCGTCTTATGGATAGTATGTAGTAAAACAGAAGCACACCAATGATGGGCTGAATTCCTCTTTTGTCATAAAGATGAAGGAGTATCACACCATCCACTTGATCTCATAATCAAATTTAAAATGGTACTTGCATCTTCTTGGAGCTGTAGATTTTGTCCTTGTCACAGAACCACAAATAAGGGCATATCTTCATTCCGAACAGCTAGTCAACCAGTGCCAACTGGTGAAGTCCAAGCGGCAGCTGGTGAATCCTCTGACGTTCTCAAAACTAACTGCACTTGGATTCCTGGGTGCACTCTTCCTTCAGGCACTGAACAGAGAGGTAATCTTCACTGCACCAGGGTCCAGCACCACACTGGTGGGACCTTCTCTGAGGAGTGAGAAGGTTTAGGCTGCTGGGGACTGTGGAGGTGAGGCCCGCAGTCTGCAGTCCTTGTAAACTTATTTTAAAGGGAAAAAAGTATTGATTTACAAATCACCATTAACTGTATGGAATAAGCAACAACTTGTGCTCGGCCAGTGAAATAACACTGGTTTATTTTGCTCTGTGAATCTTTTGTGCGGTATGGTGTACGTGTTTTGTGGCTTCATGCATTGTTGGAAACCAGCTGTTTAGGCACCTACAACAGTATCTCTGATGGGTATGCATTGCAAGGTGTCTTTAAAGTCCTACTCCCACTCTTAGTCCAGGAACCAGAGTTCGGTGCTCCTCTTTGGCGTGTGCACAGATTTCCCCAGCATTCCTAGCAATTAGCCTGCGCTCATAAGATTTGTCACCAAGCGGTGATGCTGTAGCCCACAGTGATATCTGGGTGCTAGATCCAGTGATGGGTTTGGTTTTTTATTAAACGATGGCTTTAGGAGGACTGAAGAAATGGCTGATAAATAACTCTACTGAAAAAACCAAATTAAGTAGAATTTAATTCATCCCATTATGGTGCTCTGAGGGTCTCTTCTCCGTTTGCTCATAGCAAAAACTGATCAAGCCTTCAAGGCCTTTCTGGACACCCGGAACCCCACCAAACAGCACTCCTCCACACTGGAGTCGTACCTCATCAAGCCAGTCCAGAGGGTGCTCAAGTACCCGCTGCTGCTCAAGGAGCTGGTGTCCCTGACAGACCGTGAGAGCGAGGAGCACTATCACCTGACAGGTACAGGGGCGCGGCTTATGGCGCGGCCTTCCAGCTGCCCTCTTCCCCAGCCTAGCGTCGTAGTCAGAAAATCTTTCGTATTGCAATTGTTCATCTTAGACATAGTCTTTATATGTGAAAATAGATATGTGGCCATTCCTTCCGAGTTTTCAAATGCTTTGGTAAAAATTATCTCATTGGATTGGCCCCCAAATTTGGTAAAAATTCCATCCTCATTCTTAAAAGAAGGTCATTTAAGGTCAGTGATTTAAGATAAATGGTTTCAGGTCACTTGCCTAGTAAATGGGGCTGCCAGAATGGAACATCAGGCCAATTTTTCTATAACTCTGTGAAGTTTGTTGGGTTGTTTGCTGCCCGAATGCTGCTGATAAATCCGTTGGGTGGGCTCCACCTTGTGGAGATCTCCTAGCAGAGCACAACTTCAAAACCAAACAACAGATTGTGCTTTAAGTGCACAGGCAGTCCCAGATTTATGATGTATTCCGCACTTACGTCGGTCCCTTTTTTTCTTTTTTTCTTTTGTACATTTTATCGTTAGTAACACGTTGCAGCATGTAATTTGCTGATGTTATCATTCTCAGATGTTCACTTGCAGATGTTCTGTTTTATGATTTACTGTTCAAAACACTGCCAGATTTGTAAAGCTTCTGATAATAAAAGGCAATAACGAAAACTAAAAAAAAAAAAAAAGAGGCATTTGACTTACGTCAGAACTGACTTATGATGGAGTCATTGGAACAGAAGCCTGTCATAAGTCGGGGACTAACCGTATATGTATTTGTCATCTTTTGTCACATCAGAAATTACTGGCCTAAATATATACAATTTGTCAGAAAACACAAAGCCTTCAGTTTGATAGTGAATAGAGTGCCCCTTAAAAAGATGCTTTATTTGGAGTGGAAAGAAATAGCAATTTGTTCTCCACAAATAGGACCTCTTCAGGAGGTCTAGGTAAGCCACATGCAAGAAAATAACTGGAGAGAGAAACAAACTTCTTAATAAATGTTAATATCACAGAATAATAAACTCTCAGGACAGTATACATTAAACCGGCTCTTTTCCCATAACAAGCACCAAAGACTGAGATTTTTCTTTTTTTATTAAAGTAAGTGATACATATTATGATTAGTATTCAGGTATAGTATAAAAATATCATTTTGCACTAAGATGATCTTTAAAAGGATTCTGTGAAAAAACTTCCTTCCACATCTCCCTCCAGATTTAATTAAAATATGAAATCAGGAGAACAAAGTATGAAAAATACGGAACTTGAGGGTGACCTAAATTTTTGCTTTTTGACTTTAACAAAGTCATTTTTTCCCACATAAGCCCTCGTAGAAAGTAATAAGTAAACACCATGTATAAATGCAACAGTTGCTCTGGTAATTAGACATTTACAGAGACCTTTGTAAGGTCTAATTAAAAAACTATTGTAGCTCACAATTCCAGTAACAGGTCCCTGAGGAGAAACAAGATTTAAGAGCAGAGGCCCTGAGGCCAGTCAGTCTGGGGTTTAATTCTGGGTTCATCCTTACTTTTCTTGCTAGAACTCTGGAAAATTACTTAACTTCTCTGCACCTCAGTTTTTCATCTATAAAATGGGTTGATTATAGTTCCTACATCATTGAATTATTGTGGGGATTAAATGAGATGATTCATATAAAACACTGATTATAGAACCTGCCAAAGAAAAAGTGTTCAATAAATGTTAGCTGGTAGTAGTGATAGGTTTTATTTGTACTTTGCCTTATTCCAAAGAGAATTTGAGGTAGAGGATAATCTTACTTTTCTTCATTATAATTAGTATTCATTATTATCGTTCTTCTTATTATTACCATTATTATTACACTAGGCTGTCGTGTATTCTACCTGAAAGATGCTGCTGTTTGTAGTAAGTGGTCTCGAATCCTGGCTTGAATCTTGGGCCCTTTCATTACTGCTGTTGGATAGGATTTAAAACAAACCAAAATTATAAAATAAATACGATTTCCCATTTTGCAGAAGCACTAAAGGCAATGGAAAAAGTTGCAAGCCACATCAATGAGATGCAGAAGATATACGAGGATTATGGGACTGTGTTTGACCAGCTGGTGGCAGAACAGAGCGGAACAGAGAAGGAGGTCGGTGGGCTGTGGATTCTGGGAGGCCGAATACATGTGTACTGGGTCTGTAGGTGTCCTTGTTCCCTGGAGCTGCAGTAACACAAATACCACAGTGGGTGACTTTAAAAAACAGTGTCTTAGTTACATAGTGCTGCTTAGTTATATAGTGCAGAATTGCCACAAGTGGGTGGCTGTAACAAATTTATTTTCTCACAGTTTAAGAGGCTAGAAGTCCAAATTCACGGCACCAGCTCTAGAGGAAGGCTTGCTTTCTCTGCCAGCTCTGGGGGAAGGTCCTTGTTTCTGTTCAGCGTCTGTTCCTTGGTTCCTATGTGGCCTGTATCTTCCCCTGTTTGTGCTTCCTTCTCTGCCTAATCTGCTCTTTTTGTATCTCCAAGGTAATTGGTTTAAAACACACCCTACACTAATATGGTCTCATTAACATAACAAAGAAAATTTCATTCCCAAATGGGAGTACATCCACAGGTGTAGGGATTAGGATTTACAACACATATTTTTGTGGGGCCACAATTCTGGAGGCTAAAAGTCCAAGTCAAGGTCTTGGCCATGTCAACTGTGTCCTTGTCAGTAGCCCCAGGTGTTCCTTGGTTTGTAGATGATCCTTACAGTGGCATCTGTCTTTGCCAGTTTGTGCATATGTCTGTGTCTGAGCTGCTTTTTCTGTAACTCAGAAGTGATTAGGTTTAGCATCCACCCTACACTGGCATGACCTCAGCTGACTGGTTACATTACATTAGATTGTATCGTAGAAGGTGATTTCATTCCATTAGATTAGATTACAGCCACAGGCGTATGGGTTAGAATTCCCACACATATTTTAGGGGGACACAATTCGGCCTGTAACAGTAGGTGCCCTTTCAGACTAGGCCCCCTGTGAGGACTTTCCTGGAGGAAAAATACCTGAAATTGTCTTTTTGGTCTTAATGATTATAATGTTGTTGTTGTTAGGTGCTGTCAAGTTGATTTTCAACTTGTAGTGACTCCATGTGACAGAGTAGAACTGCCCCATAGAGTTTTCTAGGCTGTAATGTTTATGGAAGCAGATCACCAGGTCTTTCTCCCTCGGAGCTGCTGAGTGGGTTCAAACCATCAGCCTTTCCATTAGCAGACCGATGCTTAACCATTTTGCCATCAAGGCTCCTTAATGCGAATAATAAACCATGCCTTTGGGCATAAATGTAACAAAATTCATTACACTGGCTTAAAAATGTTACCTTACGTCATATACCATTCTACAAAAGAAAACAAGAATCAACATCACCGAGCTCGTATCCCTTCTCCCTTCGTCTTCCTCCTTTCCTATGGGGCATGAGGTAAAACAAATCCTGGAGGCTAGAATACGTATGGAGGGCTTGTGCTGGTGGGGAGACCCTGGGTGGTGCGAATGGTTAACATGCTCGGCTGCTAATTGAGAGGTTGGAAGTTCAAGTCCACCCAGAGGTGCCTCGGAAGAAAGGCCTGGTAATCTGCTTCAGAAAATTCAGCCATTGAGAACCATATGGAGCACAGTTCTACTCTGACACACACATGGGATTGAATGAGTTGGAACTGATTCCACGGCAACTGGTTGGCTAGACTGGCAGAGGGTAGGAAAGAGAAAGGAAGTGGGAACCAGCATGTGGGAGAATCTAGGGCTTGTCCTCTTTTACGTTTTTTTGCCTTTTTAAACATCAAGTACTGGTGACTATGACCTTACTTAAAAATTTAATTAAGTGGAATTGGCCAATTTCTGTATTTGTTGCCTGACTGCTAACTTTAGAATCCTGTGCTTTTAAACCTTTATACAAGATGCAACATACTTTAAGTAGAAAAAAGCAAGAGCAGAAAAGAGCTGGAGTTTAATTTTTTATTACTATCAATTTCAACGTTAGTAATGTTTTTATTAGCAGACCTAATGTAGTTTATGGATTAGAGGTGGTGAATGCACTAGATCTCATGGTAAATGTCAACAAAGGAACCTTGGATCAATCTGAACACTGGGGTAGAATTAATATGATGGAAATTGAGTAGTTGGTGAGGCATGTCTCACATACATAGTATGCATTGAAGCAAAATGCCTTTATGTTGTTTTTCAAATGGTTTGATGCTTAGCTCATATTTTCAAAACCTCCACTATTTAAGGCCCCGTAAAAATCCAACAGAATGTACTTGTATTTAGCAATGATCATTTATGTGATCCATGAGCTAACGTGATAGTCTACCCCTGGGGCTTCCGCATCTTCTTCATCTCCTGTTTTCACAATACAGGTGACAGAACTTTCGATGGGAGAGCTTCTGACGCACACTACAGTTTCTTGGTTGAATCCATTTCTGTCTCTAGGAAAAGCCAGAAAGGACCTTGAACTCACAGTGTTTGGTTAGTATTTCATTCAAGAGAAAGTAAACTTTTAAATATTGCTTCCTAAGTTGAAGACAGAGTGACAAGAGGTTGGGAATATATGAATAACATCACTAAACCCATCAGTCTGGCTAACTCCTGTTAAACCAAAAATCATACTAAGCCAACAGTGGAAATTGCTTTATTTAATATGCTGTTTGCAAATAGGGGTAATATTTCGACTAGAAAGTCCAAAATATTCCAGGCAGGAAAGAACTTCCCAAGATTCTTACATCCCATCTTATCAACATCGCCATGGAAATGGGGCCAGAACAGTGTGTTTATATAATAACAATTTACCCTAATCTGACCTTGGAGTTTCTGTTTCTCGAATGTGACTGCCCAATACCCAAGGCAAAATGGTCTTTACTAATTTATCTAGACCACTATTTGACTCAAAGCTGACATTTAGAAACCAGTTCTCTCAAGGCTCAAGGTTCAAAAGAACATCTCAGAGCAGTGGCTTGGGTGGGTCACCCCAACTCCATGGACCCCAGGAATCTGGATTCCAGGAGAATTAAACTCTGCTTCTCACTCCTGATTTCCAGAAGGTGTTGGAAGAGTTGCTAGAATGGCTTGTGACTTAGCACAGCCAGCCTCCAACTATTTAAAACTCCGCTGCTCTGCATGCTCATGATCTTGTTCTCCCTTATGCTGCCTGGCCTGGTGGCTGTCGCCAAGTGTTACAGAAGCAGATCTCCTGAGGCTGTTTTAAAATCTGCTATCCTAAAAGTTTGCTGAATTTCCAAATGTATTAATGTTCACCAAGAGCTGGGAGAGCAAGCAGAGATGGAGGAGAGTCGCCAAGCGGAACATCATGTCCTCAGCCTTCAATAAAACAAGAATTATTTTAAGATGCCAGGATCTTCTTCAGATAATAGCTTTTAAATAAGCAGGTACTTCTGCATAATTCAAATAGGAACAGAAGGCAGTACCATTTATTCATTCATGGGTTGGCATAGTGAGATCTTTGAGAGTTCATAAATTTGAAGAGCTTTATTCTATTAAAATATTCAGCTCTAATTTAACCTTGGAATTTTGTATAAAATAATGAAAGACTTTCCTTTCTCTTTTCCTTTCTTTAGTTTTTAAGAGAGCTGTCATACTGGTTTATAAAGAAAACTGCAAACTGAAAAAGAAATTGGTAAGGCAAGAATGAGTTACAATTCAAGCTGTATTTTCATGGCCTTGTCTTCCTATTAACGTGGAGCTGAAAAGCCTGCTAAGTGCCCAGGGCTCATTTACTGACATTACTAATTCTTAGGGTAGCTAAACAAATCAAATACTTAAGGCATTCTGAGTCTCCCCACAAAAGATGTCAGTTTCAAAAAAAGATGTAGACAAATACCCAGGCTGGAGCCTGCACAGAAAACCAGCTTTTGTATCCCGGAAAATGGCCCATGTTTGCACCAGTCTATGTAACTTTGGTTTGTTTCAAATGCCTTTTATCTTGACTTAAAAAAAAAAAAAAAAAAGCATAGCCGTGGATGCTCTAAGCCTTCCGTGTACTATCCAGGCTAACACAAGGACATGAGGCTTGGTTGCCATTCTTGCTTTGAGACGGAAGCTCTGCTCCCCAAGCCTTGCCCCTGGCTTTTTCCTGCGGGTCTGTAAGCCCCTTGAAGACGAGGTGCATACTGGAGTCATGTGTGCCCTAAACACACACAGCTGCCAGGGGCCTGGCACAGACAGGAACTTAGCACTTCCGCCCAGTACAGACACATCCTCCTTGGGTGAGAGCTCTAACACTCTTCTTTGTGGGTTTTCATATTCCAGCCCTCGAATTCCCGGCCTGCACACGGCTCTGCTGACTTGGACCCGTTTAAATTTCGCTGGCTGATCCCCATATCCGCGCTTCAAGTCAGGCTGGGGAACACAGCAGGTAACTGTTTCATGTCGTGCAATGGCAGAAAAACCATCTTAGGAGACTTATATGAATAGTTGTGGAATGAAAAAGTAGGAAAGGATCTTGGGGATAATTTTTGGTGTCTTTCAGAAACAAGGAAAATGAGAACAAGAGAGGTTGCTTTGATGTTTCTTTACAGACTTTTTGAGAAGCTAAATGCCAATGGCTGGCTTTCCTTTTCTGAATATCTGTCTACATTGTATCCTTATTTTGTTCACCTCTCAATAGTTTTCAGCATTTTCTATTCTGCCTAATATCCTTGAAACTTGCAAATTTGCTAAAGAAACAAAAGCACACAAATTAAAATTTTACAAATTTAGACAAACCAGAAAATTCCTTAAGATTAGGCAGTATTGCAAGTGATGTAAAAAGAAGAAATCTTTGGTCCTGGAAAATGTTCAGAGATGCTTCCAGAATAACCATATTCTGGAACAATGTCCCGGGTAACAGAAGGAGCAAGAGGCTAAGGCAGGCAGTCACGTTCTGGGTCCTTGTTCATTCTTGTCCGCAGTGCTTAAATTTCCTAGAACATGACTGAATCTGGGCCTTGCCTCTTTTATCCCAAGCACTTGAGCAAATCCCACTATTCCTTCCAAGGAATGGGCAAAACCCCAAGGAGCGCTGGCTAACAGGGCCTATTGAACCTCTTTCCCAAAGAGATAGAATCCAGGGATAAGGAGAGAGCAGGTTACGATGAATGGAACCCTTCAGGAAATACCAGAAGTAACTAAAGGTGTTTCACTTTTTGTACCTGTTTGTGAAAGTTGTACATACAGTGAGCCACAGAAGAAAATAAGTCATAACTAAGAATATTCAACTTTTTTAAAAGTCACTAAATTTTGAGTTTTAAAATGTTTTCAACCACAGCAAGCATCTTTGGTGAAGTTGTAGGCTCTTATTTTTGTTTTCTTTTACACAGGGACGGAAAATAATTCCCTTTGGGAGCTGATCCACACTAAGTCAGAAATAGAAGGACGGCCGGAAACCATCTTTCAGTTGTGTTGCAGGTATTGCGACTTTCCAAAACTGAAACCAGTGAAAAGAAGGTAGAATAATCTTCTCCTAAAAATAGATTACTTTTAATGCTCTTCTGAATTTTGATAACATCAGGGTCACTGTCCCCCCTCCCTCCCAAAAAGGCACTAGGTCTCTAGCAGAAGGTGACGAATACACTGATTAATTATATCCAGAGCACGGTGCTTGAAGAAACAAGAGTGGCCAATCTCACCTCCTTTGCTAAGTGAGGAAACTGAGGCGTGTCAAGGTGGGGTGGCTTGCTGAGGGTCTGGCCTGGATGTGACCGGGCCAGGACTCCTTCAAGGTGGCCCTGACCCCCGTGCTCAGGAGGACAAGCCAGGGTGGAACCCAAGGAGAAGGGACAATGTGGAAAGTACTGCTGTTCTCTCTCTTCCCCAGCGACGGTGAAAGCAAAACCAACACTGTGAAGGTGATCCGTTCTATTCTGCGGGAAAACTTCCGGCGCCACATAAAGTGTGACCTACCCCTGGAGAAAACATGTAAGGATCGCCTGGTACCTCTTAAGAACCGTGTTCCTGTTTCAGCGAAATTAGGTGAGGATTTTGCTAGGCATCTGTTTGTTGAGTAAAACATCACGAACTTCTCCCAAAGGATATGTGCTCTTGTAATCAAGCTGTAAATAATAGCTTTATAAATTACTGGGGATAACTTTCAGAGTTCTAAACCAGGAACCCACATATGTAGGGTGATGTGAGAAGTCAGTGGCAACTTTATTTCCTTTTAAGAGACCTAAAAATAAAATGCCTCTTGTTCCAAGATGACCTTTTATAAACTAGAACCACCCAAACTCCCATAAAACCAAACCCAAACCAGTTGCCCCAGAGTCGATTCTGATTTCATGGAGACCCCACCTGTGCAGAGTAGAACTTACTCCATAGGGTTTTCAAGGCTGTGACCTCTCAGAAGCAGATCGCCAGGCCTGTCTTCCGAGGCACCTTTGGGTGGGTTCGAACTACCAACCTTTTGGTTAGTAGTTGAGCACTTAACTGTTTGCGCCATCCCTGTCTTATCAACTGACGTAGTCTATAGTTACTATTTTATTTGTTTCTTCCACTAAAATGTACTACAGGACACCTAGGCATACTCAATACTTCAATAAAACCTAACATACTTGATCATACCCCCTGCCCCTAATAAATCAGCAGGTAAACATTCCAAATCATGCTGCTCTGAAATTTTCTGCCTGCTTCTAAATGTCAGCTTAAATTTTCAGAACCTTCTTTCTGTATGTGTGTGTGTGTGTGTGTATGTATGTATATGTATATTTGGTGAAGATGTTGTTAGGTGTTGTTAAGTGCCTTCGAGTTGGTTCTGACTCATAGTGACCCTGTGTACAACAGAAAGAACACTGGCCGGTCCTGTGCCATCCTCACAATCATTGTTATTTTGAGCCCATTGTTGCAGCCACTGTGTCAATCCATTTCGTTGAGGGTTTTCCCCTTTTTTGCTGACCCTCTACTTTACAGAGTATGATGTCCTTCTCCAGGGACTGATCCCTCCTGATAACATGTCCAAAGTATGAAGTATGTGAGACATAGTCTTGCCATCCTTGGTTCTAAGGAGCATTCTTGTACTTCTTCCAAGACAGATTTGTTCGTTCTTTTAGCAGTCCATGGCATATTCAATATTCTTCCCCAACACAATTCAAAGGCATCAATTCT